CAAAGCCAGGATTTGATCTCTTTCCTGAAGGCCTTGAGGGAGGGGGCATACCACACCTCAGGCGGCAAGATGTTCCATAGGGCGGGCGCTACAGCAGAAAAGGCTCTCTGCCTAGACTCCACCAATCGAAATTCCTTGACGGGTGGGATCTGCAATCTGCCCCTTCTGCTGGACCGAGTGAGGCGGGTTGAGATGACCGGGGCGAGGTGGTTCCTCAGATAACCTGGTCCCATGCCATGAAGGGCTTTAAAGGTGATGACCAACACCATGAATTGGACCCGGAAACAAACTGGCAACCAATGCAGCTCATGCAACAGGGGTGTTATACGTGCCCTCCTTTTTAGTTTGCTACTCTTCAGAAGTATCCAAACATATCCAAACTTTCGGAATAGTTTGGAGGCTAGGCATCACCCCCAGCCTTGGTTCTTCCTATGCCCCACTGACCCTGATGGGCACTAGCCATTACTGCCTTTAGTATATACTATTTAGGTAGCAAACACTGTAAAATGACATTTTTTTTTCATAAATTTGGGTCCTATTCATTGATGACTAGAACAGCTGAGAATGAGGAAGAATTCATTTGGTTCACATTTTTGGGTAGGCCTCTCTGATTTGCATTGCTTAGATGTGTCTTCCTTTATTTCATTTTCCACAGCTCCTCAGAAAACCAAGGGTCCATCTGGGATTCGCAAGTGATGAAAAGGGCACTAAAACAATCCTAACCAATGCTCTGGTCACCTCCATATTCCAAAAGCTGACCAGGTGTTCAAACAGAACTGCCCTCCAGATCACTGAGGTAATCCCCAAGTGCCATCTGGAAACCGTTTAGATCCATTAGGTCCCTCTGGCAAGACATCTGAATTGATCCATCCTCTCTATGGTCACTAGTGGCCTCAGTCAGCCATGTAGTCCCTAGGAAGTGATCTTATTCTTTAGATAATTTAGTCCCTAGGAAGTGATCTTATTCTTTGAGGACAATTTAGATAATTATCCTCAAAGAAACAGAAAACAATTCTACTTTAAATAAATCTGGTTCCCCAGATTAAATTAATTGAAATAGGCTGGGCTATGCGTTGAAATTAATAAGAGAATGAATGACATTTTATCCTCACTGCTGGCAAGATTATGACTGAATATTTGCTGTTAGTGATTATTTGGGGTGTGACATCTCACATTTCCCTCTCAGCTCATGCTGTATTAGCGTTTAGTGCGGTAGTGCTAAATTGAAGGGGAAACTTCAGTTTTTCTCCAGCCCATCTCTCCTTATACTGGAATTAAGAAATTTTGTCATGTACTTTCGTTGTGCTTCTTGAGTAACCATGACTCACCTTAATACCACAGTTTGACATTAGAAGTCTCTCCAGAGAGGAGGAAAATCATTGAGAAATGAGTTGGATAAAGGTTATTAAACTGGCACTTAAAATTCCAGTCCTGCACATTTTATTTTAGCCTCTAATTAAATGCCAAGTACAGAGAAGATTTTCTTTTAGTATACACACATGCTGATTACACCTTTATCAGAAGGAGAAGATCCTAGAGAGAATTTTAATTTTATTCCCAGGAACCAACCTTTCCTTGCTCATGGGTGTGGAATGCTCTTCCTCCAGAATGCGTGAGAAAGGGTGGCCTTAACTTCTGCCCATCTAGCCATATGGATCCCCAAGCCACATCTAAGCATCTCTGCTGTGGAACATGCTGCTGTTCAGTGTGGGAATGAAACCTGTCTTTGAGGAATCAGCCTGTGAAATTTCAGGAGAGCTGGTTGCCGAATATAAGCTAATTGTTTAAATAAGGTATTATGATGTGAGTTAATAACATGTACGTATATCAGTGCTTATAAAAGTTTCATTTAGAATCCCTTAGGACTTCTCCTAAGTGTTGACTTAAATCTTAACTTGTGTGGAAGAGGCTTATCAGCTTACCAATTACTTTCTTTCCTCTGGATTACAATAAATAAGACACAAGAAACAGGAAGCAACAAACTATGTTGAGTTGCTTTGCACACCAAAAAATCAATACTGAGCATTTTTGTTTGAAGTGAAGTGAATATTTAATCCAATTTGATTTAAAGTATTTAAAACATAGTGAAGAGGGGGAAATGGAAACATTTCAAAATGTGCAAATGCTGGTGGAAGGGTAATGGGTAGTACACGATCTGTTCTAAGGAATGAATGGTTGTTGGAAGAAGCAAAAACATTTGCATGTAAAAGTGTGCTTCCACTCACATGGTTATATGGAAAATGAGAACTGGGTATATTAGGAGAAATATGAATGTAAGCTGAATGCTAAGGGAATGTGTTAATTAACAATGGGTCTGGGAAAATGGAACAGATAGGGTCAAGAAAGAATGGAGGCCCAAGGTGTTACTTCTGTCATCTCTTGAGACTCGGCCCATCAAGTGTCAAATAAATGCTTGATAAACCACTCACAGAGACCAACAGAAGGATCTTCTGGTGCACCAGAATCCAGAAGAAAGCCAGTTAGTCAAAATAAGAGTGTGCAGTCTTAATAAGTGCAGAAAAGCATTGAAACTTCACTGCTCTTACTGCCACTTCAGATAGAAATCTGAATAAGGGCTCATACCTGTGTCAAACCATCATAGCTCTTTGTCTTTTTCCCAAAATCCCCCCAGGCATCTCCTTTTGCCCTTCATTTTCCAAGCTCTTTGATGAATTAAAGAGCCTCCTTGATTGACAGCCAGAGAGAGGTCACTCAGGAGCAACCCTATCAAGTGTCTTCATAATCTCTGATTCCAGAGATTCATTGAGTGCCTGACAGAGCTGTTCATTAGACTGCTGGGAAATACCCAAGCATCTGTTGGAAACCCTGAGGACTATAAGGTTACCAGGGCAGATCTGTCTCTGCAATGGAAGTTCAGTGGTCCATATGAATCTCACAGTGAGCAAAGAGTGATCTGACCATGATAATGGACTGGTGTTGGTGACCTTTAATATCAGATTCCCATATAAGTTACTTCAACTTGAGAACCAGATCTGGTGTATCTACCCCACCCCCCACCACTGGTGGGTAATGATTTGGGACAAGTCATGCCAAAAACCCTTCCTCAAGGCATGGAAAGTAAAGTCCCCCAATACACAAAGCCTGGGGAAAAAGGGGAAGAATCTTCATGTAAAGAACCTGGCATGCAGCCACCAATGGAACAACATATCTCATCACTACCAGATTCTCACAAGATATCAAAGTCATTCTTCTGCCCTAGAATCAATGTTGGTGCACCACCTGAAACACATTTAGGTAAATTTCAGACAGAGGTACACCCCCATCTTCAACCAGGTAGGTATCTGTCTATATTATATCTGCTTATTCCTCCAAGACTGGAGGAATATGGTATTACTACAAAAGAACTAACCTACTCTAGAACTTTCAGCAAACCAGCATCCAAGTGTTTAAGCCAAGGCAACAGACATATACATAAAATATGACAATCCAATTCTCTTGACACAAAAAATGAATAACAAAGCAAGGGCTATGGGGAGAAAATCCCTTTCTTTTGATTTCTTTCCTTTGAGAGCATTATTTTCATTCTTTGTATTATTATGCTCTCTCTCTCTCTAATTTCTAGTGGCAAATTGAATGCATTACTTTTGGAAGTGCACAACATTCCTCACTCATTTTTCTTTGTGCATGAACTTTCTAATATACTGCATTGTGTTGAACTGTGTGTTTTGTTGTTGTTGTTTAAATTCTCTAGGATTATGAATGGATGAGTCAGCCTAAATAGCTGTAAAGGTACTATTTTGAAGCCTTATGCTTACTAGAAATATTCCAGATAATAATACCTCTTTTAAAAACTTGAAGATATCAGAATTGCAGAAAGAATTATGCTGGGGCTTAGGCTAAATAATTTCCCCTCCCACTTCTCTCAGTCTTTTGTGATGTAGAAACCTTATTTTGAAATATTGGCAGGTTGTTGGCTTAAATCAAACTCAGTGGCATTTCTTTTCCATAGTAATTTGGTTGGGCAAAAATAGTTTTAAAATGTAAACTTGGTTTATTGATACAGTGTCATATGAGTTCATTAAAAATGTTTGGAATCAGCTATAAAGGGAAGTATCCATTTCTTAGTTCCTTGA